GCCGGCTACAGCTGAAAGAATATGTTTCCATTCCTTGTCCATCTGTTCTTGGCAATATAAATTTAAACTAGAAACACAGAACAAGTTTTACAAGAAATATGTCTAAATAGGGTTTAATACAGGGATGTGAATGTTCTAAGTTATTATGACTTGTTAACATTTGATCTTGTTGCTAGAAGGTGGTTTTCACTCAGAGAAATCTCATTCTGAAACAATAAGGTTCAAGAATAGTAGAATTTTATATTTCACTTATAAAAACACATGTCCTAGTCACGTGCACAATTCTCAGGTCTTAGCAATGATAAGCTCTTGTAGAGGGAAGTCATGCTTAGGAGGATAAAGGGGCAATGCAAGAGAGGAAGACCCTCAATGAGATGGATTGATTCAGTGACTGGAGCAATGGGGGTAGGTGTGTCAGAGACAATGGTTGGCACAGGATAAAGCAGGATATAAGGCTGTTGTACATAGGATCACTATGAGTTGCAAGTGACTTGACAGCACATAACAACAAACAAATTGCCACAGAGTTGATCTACTTTGAAAATGAGTCATTTAAATACCTGAATTCCTGATAAAATAGATTCACTCGTAAGGAATAAAGAATTTCCCTACACAATGGATTAAGCAAAACCCTTATTTATTTGGTTTTTAATGAGTTTACCTTCCATTCTATCATCTCCACTCCATAATTTTCTGCTGGGCTTTATGAGGAGTGTGGCATCAGGATTGAAAGAAGACTCATCAACAACCTGTGCTATCCAGATGATACAACCTTGCCTGCCAAAACTAAGGAGAATCAGAAGTGTCAGCTGAAGAAGGAAGGTCAAGTGTAGTTTTCAATATGGATTAAAGCTAAACATCAAGGAAACAAAGATTCTCATCACTGACACAATTGGCAGCACCAGGCTAGATGGAGAAGCGATTGAGATTGTTAACAATTTCATCTTGCTCCACAATCAAGACTATTGGCACTGACAGTCATGAAACCAAGAGACAAATTGCACTGGGGAAGTTTGTACCTCTCCAGAGTGCTGAGTAGCAGTGACATCTATCTAGAAATTAAGGTGCACATGATCCAAGCCATGGTCTTCACTAGCTATGCATCAGAGAGCTGGACAATGAATAAAAATTATAGAAGTATCGATGCCTTTGAGTTGTGGTGCTGGAGAAGAATATTGAGCATACCATGGACAGTCAGGAAAATAAAGAGATCTATCTTGAATAAGATGAAACCAAATTTCCCCTTGAAGGCAAGGATTTTGAAGCTCCATCTCACATCCTTTTGCACATATCACTGAGGGGCCAGTCCTTCCTTGGAAAAGTGTATCATGCTAGGAAAGGCTGAGGGACAGCCCAGAGAGGAAGATCCCAGATAGGATGATTTACACGATAACTGGAGCTATGGGAGAGGTGTATCTGAGTCAGTGAGAATGGCTCAGGATAGGGCAGGTTTCAGAACTATTGTACATAGGGTTGCTGTGAGTCATAGGTAACTCGACAGCACATAACAACAATGACAACAATATTAAACTATTTCTTTTCGTCTTAAAGTTTTTGGTAATATATGGTAATTATAAAATAACCACGTATATGTATGTGCACCTTTTGCCTCCAAGTCAAGAATGGAGGCAATCTTAGCTGTCTGGAGAAGATGACGTCTTACTATGTTGAGGGGTTGTCTGCTCTCTGGGAATCTGTTCACATGAATACAACCTTCTGCTCTCTGGTTGAATGAAAATCCTCAGGTTCAAAAGGAACTTTGGAGTTCACACAATTTTCTATCCCAGTATGAGAAGATTTTCTACATATTTTTAATGTCTTTCTTCCATGGGCTTATTTATCAAATATAGTTTAACTCACTCCCTGGTTGCAGTCCAGTAAATCTAATTCATAACTGACTCTCTGGTGGGTTTTAAATTCTGTATATCACAGAGGTGGAGACCATCCATAATTTTCCTGGAGTTGTTGGTGAATTCAATCCAGCAGGGAAGTGCAGCTTTGGGATTAGCAGCGCAACTCCCTAAAGACCACATCTGTCCCTTCCTAGGCATGTAAATATGAGTAAATTAGTTAACGTGTCTGTACTCAGCCTTTCTGTAGTGGTAAGGAGCTCCACTGCCATGCGCAAAACACACAGTTCAAATACTCACCAGCATCCCTAAGCAAGAAAGATAGGCAAACTCTCTCTAAAAATATACAGATCCGGAAAAACCCACTGGAGGAACAGCTATCAGTCAGTTTTGATTTGACAGTACACAACAAGAACAAGATCTGTAAAAAGGATGCTAATTGTTGTAAATTGATTTTTGAGTAACAGAAAAATTATCTAGAGAAAGCAATTTGTTCAATTACATACACTTAGTACACAGTAGCAATTGCATAAACAGAACTAGGAATGTTTAAGACCAGGAAAAGTGTGTATCACAGTGGCATCCTTTCCCCACACCTATTCAATAAGTATGCTGAGCAAATAATTCAAGAAGTTGGACTAAATGAAGAAGAATGTGGCATCAAGATTGGAGGAAGACTCATTAACAACCTACATTATGCAAATGCCAAAATTTCGCTTGCAGAAAGTGAAGAAGGCTTGAAGCACTTACTATAGATGATTAATGACTACATAATAGCCTTCAATATGAGTTGAATCTCAGCACCAATAAAACAAAAATCTTCACCCTTGAACCAGTGTTTAATGGAGAAAAGATTAAAGTTGTCAACTATTTCCTTTTTCTTGGTTCGAAATCAACTCCTGTGATATTAGAGTTCAAGAGATAATGTTTCATTTGCATTGGGAAAATCTGATGTTAAGGACTTATTCAAAGTTCTAAAGAGTAGCATGTTAGTTCAAAGACGAAGGTGCAGCTTATCCAAATGATATTATTTTTAACTGCTGCCTATGCATCTGAAATTTAGACAATGAATAGAGATTGAAAAAGAATTGATGTGTTTGAATTGTGGTGTTGGTGAAGAGTATTGAATATACATTCGACTCACAAAAGAACAACTATGTCTTCAAAGGATTGCAACAAATGTGGTCTAACATGGTCATTACAGCTAAGATTGGTGAAACTTCATCTCACTTATTTTGGACATATATTTTGGGGAACCAATCCTTGGAAAGGGAGACATCGTGCTGAAGAATCCACTCAATGAGATAGATTAGCACTGTGATTACTACAATAAGCTTAAGAATTGCAGAGATCATAAGGATGGAACAGGATAGAGCAAGGCTCAGACTTCCTGCCTCGAGGGTTCCTAAAATTTATGGTCAAATCAACAACATCTAATAATGACAACAGTAACTGCTCAGTGAAAGATACTTATTACTAGTAAAAGATATCTATTACTAATAGACTCTGTATTATCTTCAGCTGAAAATATAGAATGAAATCATTATTGCACTATGTTAATTATCAATGCACACACATAAGGTCAACATGAATCAAAATTGATTCAATGTCAAATCACAGCAACAAAATATTCTTTAACTTTCTGGGTTAAAATAAAGTGAGTGTGTATGTAAGCACATTTATTCAACACCTCATAATACTTCTCAAACTTCTGTATACATTTACCTACAACTGTGGACAAAGCATTCAATGTTAAGGCCCCCAGTTTCTTCTCTATAAAATGAGGCATTTCAACTTAATGGTTTTTAAGATCCCTTGTTCCAGTGATTTAACAAAATCTTGTTTGACAGCATATCTTCATATTTTATTTATACTGCTGAAATGTGTATTTGCTGCCAAACTGTCTGATGTGGGATGTACAAATGTTCCATATATACATGTGGAATAACATTAAGTTTGTTGATGTCAAAAACTACTGGTATATTTTTTTGGCACCCTTTGGCTCAGTATCTATTCTTCCCATTTTGTTTTAGAATAAGCTGACAGCAAATCGTTTCCCATAGAACCTCAAAGTTTAGTTAAATGGAAAGTTTCAGAAATAAGAACATTTTTTCATTACTTTCTATTTCCAAGACAAATAGCCTTTCTTTAGTGAAATGGATATGGTTTGGATTTTTTTATTATATATCTTATCTATTGTATAGTATAGTATAGTATAGTATAGTATAGTATAGTATAGTATAGTATAGTATTGTATAGTATTGCATATTATATTATTGCATATTATATTATTTCATATTATATTATTGTATATTTATATTATTGTATTGTATATTATTGCATATTATTGCATATTATTGTATATTAAATATATTATCTAAGCTGGAGCAAGTTATTGAGTATGTCATGGACTGCTAAGAGAACAAACAGGTTTGTCCTGGAGAAAGTGAAACCAGGCTGCTCCGTGGAGGCAAAGATTTTGAAGTTCCACCTGACATACTTTGGGCATGTTTCCAGGAGGGAGCAGTCCTTGGAGAGGGACATCATGCTAAGAATGGTAGAGGGACCGCTCAAGAGATGAAGACCCTGAGTAAGATGGATTGATTCAGTGACTGGGGCTATGGGGGATAGGTGTGTCAGAGAGAATGAGGTTGGTTCAAGATAGAGTAAGGTTCAGAGCTGTTGTACATAGGGTCACTATGAGTCAGAGTTGACGTGATGGTACATAACAACAACAAACAATAAAATTAAATTGTGGAAATATGTACATATTGTTATTTTAAGCTGAGTTTTTTAGAGAATAAAAATGAAACATAAAGAGGGAGATATCTATATCTATATAGATATAGATATAGATATAGATATAGATATAGATATAGATATAGATATGAAAAGATAATTAAAAAGCAGGTTGTTAATTCAATTATGTTGTTGTTATTTGCTGTCAAGTTACCTGAAACTCATAGCAACCTTATCTATGCACACAAAAGCTTTGAAGCCTGCCTGTTAGTCTCACTAACTCACTTATAGATACTGACAAACCCCAGGTCCTTGCCACATCATTGTGTAATCAGACAAATCTAAGGTGTGTGCACAACCTTAATCATCACAGTAGTGTAATTTACCTACATGATATCTGTTTCTTTTCAGACCTGAGTGACCAGCTGCTAGAGGTGGTTGGCCTGGAAGGAGCCATGGAGATGGGACAGATATACACAGGACTGAAAAGTGCTGGGCGGCGACTGGCTCAATGCTCCTCTGTGGTCATCAGGTAGTGATTTCTTCTTACTTGAGAAAGGGATTTGTCCTGGCATGACAATAAGCTGACTACAATTATTAAAATCTCTGATTGTGGCATATGTCTTATTTGTGCCTTGATAGATCAATGAGCAATACTGATATGTTTCTTCTTAAAAAAACACAAACAAGAAAAAAACCCCAAAACCCTTCAAAAAGCCCCTTAGTTTTGATTTGGATGAAAATTTACTAGGACGATTGGTTTTCATTTGATCATTTGTATACATTTTGTTTGATGACATTAATTCCAATACTGGCACTCTTCACATTTTCTCCTTCTTTTTGTTTTCATTTATTCTTCTAACTCTTCCTGCCTTTTAAGCTTTATCCCTGGACAAATACATTCACTTTGATCTTTCATGGTTATACTAATGACTGAGTGTTATTATTCACCTTATTTGCCTATTGTTTGATTGAAAAATTGAGCCACAAGGGTGAACTCAAGTCCGGGTTTAAAGGATGACTACCAACCCTAATTTCTATGGCTCTCAGTATCAATCAGACCATTTTCATATGTCATTTTATGGTTATAAGTCTGACCATTTTCATTATTTCAAATTTCATTTTACATTTTTCTTCCTATTTATTCAAGACCCAAAATTGTAGTCCATTTCAGTGGTAGTAAAATAGTAAGGCATGATCTAGCTCTTCCAGTGTCTGAACTGTGGAAGCTGAAGTTCATGAGGTTTAATAATACTGTGGTGCTGTTGTTATGTACCGTAGAGTCAGAACCGACCGATAGCTGACACTCCAGAAGGTTTTCAGAGGCAGTTAATCACACAGGAGGAGATTGTCTATCCTTCTCCCATACAGCCGCATGTGGACTCGAACCATGTGCCTTCAGGATTGCAGTGAAGCTTCTTGCCAGTAGGCCACCAGTATAGAGTAATTATTTTCATACCTCTTTGGTTTTCAAATTTACCACAAAATATTGGAGAAGATGGATGTGATAATTTGCCTCCCAAGGAATTTCCCTCAGTACTGTCCCAATCAAAATGTTTCCCTGAAGTTGGTACTGGGGAATTTGGTCTTACATCTTCCTAAACAGGAGGCATAAAAAAAGTATGAGAGACCAGTAGCAGTGTGTGGTACAAGACATCACAAAAGTGACTTGTGGAATATGCTATCATATGAAGAGGTGTCTGAGGAAGAAAGGTATGACCAGGTAGGTGGAAGCACAAAGAATGTGATGTAGCAGGGAAAGGGAAGAGACAATACACGTGCTTTGGGGTAAGGGTGCAGTGAATGTATTGGTTATTTCTGTAAGGGAAGTGTCTTTTATCTGCTCAGTAAATGCTTGCCTGTCAGGTATTGTTCAAAAAATAAGCATCCAAATGAAGATAGACTAGGAAGAAAGATTGGCCATCCACTTTCAAAATATAACAGGCCTTTGAAAACACTATATGCAGCAGAGCACACTTAAAGTAGACTAACAGATATGTTACCTGAGGCTGAGCGCTCAAATTTGGAAACACAAAGGAGGAGAAACAAGTGTAAGAAGAAACTAAATATTGGGACATGGAATGTGAGAAGCGTGACTATAGGAAAACTAGGCATTGTTAAGAAAGAAATGGAACACAGAAATAATGACATATTAGGTATTAGTGAAATGAGATGGATTGGCATGGGACACTTTGAATCAGATGATCATATGATCTACTATGCTTTAGACAAAAAGGTGAAAAACAACAGGGTTGCTTTCGTAGTTAAAAAGGCCATTTCTAGAAAGATGGGATAAATTATGTATACTGCATTGAAGCAGATAAGGGAGAGAACTGTTTAAAAGGGATATATGATTAGGTATTATTGTCATAACAGGAGTCCAGAACAAAGACTTTATAGTAGCTTGGTCTTGGGAAAAGGAAAAATGAAGGAATATTCTTTTTTTTCTTCAAAGAGCTCTGCATTTCTTAAGCTGAAGAAACTGAAGAACGAATTCAAGCCGTGAATTGCAATACTTAAGTATGCTATGGGCAGAATATTTAACTATTCAGGAAACATTAAAATAAAATGGAAGGAATACACAGAGTCTTTGTACCAAAAGTATTGATGGACAGAGAAATTTCAAGATACAACATATGATCAAGAGGCAATGATGATGAGGAAGAAAGTTCAGGCTGCTCTGAAGGATTTGTCAAAAAATAAAGCCCCAACTTTTTGAGAAAACTGGGGCTTTATTTTTTGCCAAGTTCTTCACAGCACCCTGAACTTCCTCAGAACTGCCACAGAAGCAGATATATGCAGACCTATGTTTATTGCTGCTTTGTTCACAATAGCAAAGAGATGGAAACAACACAAGTGCCCATCAACAAATGAATGGATAGAGAAGCTGTGGTATATTCACACAATGGAATATGATGCATCATTGAAAAACAAGGAACTCATGAAATACTATGCAAATTGGTTGACCTTCGAGCACATTATGCTGAGAGAAATATCTCAGCCACAAAAGAATAAATACTGTATAATGTCACTCTTATACAACAGGACTGACATAGATTTTGGAGGAAAACCAAGAAAAGGGGATAAATAATGTACACTGGCAGTGAAACAGAGGAGGGAGGTATATATGACTAGGTATTATTTGCATGAGTAGAGTAAGGAATAATAGCTGCATAGTAAAGTGGACTGGGGGGATTGTATAACACTACGAAAGGTATTTTTTCAAAGAGAAACATGAACTGGGGGGAAGGCTGGGAAGGGAGAACAATGTGCAACAATGAATGAATGGAAATCCAAGTCCTTTATAATCTTTCATTAAAATCTCAATTGAAAAAATAAAGCCCCAGGAATGGATGGAATATCAATTGACATATTTCAACAAACAGCTGCTGCCCTGGATGTGCTCAATAAGTTGTGCCACGAACTGGAGGACAACTACTTTGCCAACTAACTGGAAAAGATCCATATTTCTTCTCATTCCAAAAAAAGGTGACCGAGCAGAGTGTGGAAATTATAGAACAATATCACTAATATCACACACTAGCAAAATCCTGCTGAAGGTTATCCAGAAATAGGGAACTTTCAGAAATACAAGATGGATGTAGAAGATTTCTTGACACTAGAGACAGTATTGCCGATGTCATGTGGACCTTGGCAGAGAACAAAGAGTACCAGAGGAATGTCTATATCCATTTAATTGGTTATGCAAAGGCATTTGACTGTGTGGATCATAACAAATTGTGACTACACTTGAGGAAACTGGAAATCCCAGAACACTTACTTGTTCTTATGTGAAACCTACAGGTGAACCAGGAAGCAGTCCTCAAAATAGAGCAAGGAAATACTACATGGTTCAAAATCAGGAAAGGAGTGTGTCAGGGATGCATCCTGTCTCCATGCCTTTCCAATTTATATACAGGGCTTTGATCAATCATTTGTGAAGCAGGGTTTTATGAGGATGAAAGCGGCATCAGGATTTGAGCAAGACTTATCAGCAAGCTACGTTATGCAGATGACACACCTTGCTTACTGAAACTGAAGAGGATCTGAAGTGCTTGGTGCAGAAGGTCAAGAGCTGTAGTCTTCAATATGGATTGAAGCTCAACATCAAGAAGACAGAGATTCACAACACTGGACCAATTGGAGGCACAATGATGGCTAGAGAAAAGATTAAGGTTGTTAACAGCTACAGCTTTCTCAGCTCCTAACACCATACTCAGGAAATCAAAATCTGAATTACGATGGGAAAATATGCTGCCAGGGACCTCTCCAGAGTGCTGAAAAAGCAGTGGTGTCAATTTAGAGACTATGGCGTGCCTAACCCAGGCCATGGACTTTGCAATTATTTGTTACGCTTCCGAGTTGGACAACAACTAAAGATAATGAATGAAGAATCGATGTCTTCGAATGGTGGTGCTGGAGAAGAGTCTTGAACTTACCATGGACTGCCAAGAAAACAAGTAGATCTGTCTTGGAGAGGGTGAAACCAAGTTTCTTCTTAGAGACTAGGATTTTGAACCTCCATCTCACATCCTTTTGACGTGGGGCCAGGGTGCATTGGTCCCTGCAGAAGAACGTTATGCTTGGAAGGGTAGAGGGACAGCACAGAAGAAGAAGACCCTGATGAGATGGATTGATACAGTGACTGGGACAGTCGAGATTGGTGTGTCGGAATTAGTGAGACTGTCTCAAGACAAGTCAGGATTCAGAGCTGTTGTACATAGGCTCACTATGGTTCACAGCCAACTCTACGGCTCATAACACAACAAAAACAAAGATTATTATCTATGTGCACCAAGTCAACCACCAGTCATCTAAAAGCTTTGAACAACAGACTTGAACCTGGCCCGAGCCTACACCACCCTCACAATCTCTGCTGTGCTCCAGCCTATTGTTGTAGTCACTGTTTCAATCTGTCTTGATGGAATTCCTTTTTGCTAACCTTCTACATTTTTAAGCATCACGTGATCCTTCCTAACAACATTCCCAGAGTATATGAGCTGAACTTTCACCATCATTGCCTCTGTGGATCACAATGTTTGCACTTTCTCCAAGACAGATTTTATTCTTCTTGAAGTTGATGGCATATTCAGTACTCTCTTCAACACTACAATTCAGAGGCATCAAAGTTCTGTCTTTCTTATGGTCCAACTTTAATATGTGTAGGAAGCAATTGAAAATACCATGGATTGGGTCCTATGCACTTTCATTTTTAAATTGTCATCTTTATTCTTTAACATGTTAAAGATGTCTCTGAGAGCAGATTTGCCCAATGCAACACATCTTTTTGTTTGGTTGGGTTTTTTTATTTTAAAAAAAAATTCTACTACTTTATTTACAAAATTCAAATACAATATTTTCAAGAACAAATTCATTCAATTTCCCTCAGCCCCACACCCATCAAATTGTACAACCCTATGATTAAACCCCTCTTCCCCTACACATCCTCATCCCTCTGCTTCTAACCTCTCCCACCCCTCTTGGATCCTATACTCACTCTACAATAATGGTTTTATTCAATATTTATTCTTGTGCAACTGAGTTCACTCGGCATAATGCTCTCCAGTCCCTCCCAATAATAATTTACGAAATCACTGCCCCTGCATGCTGCATAGTATTCCATTGTGTGAATGTACCACAATTTCTCAATTCATTCATTTGTGGTTAGACATTTGGGCTGTTTCCATATTCTTGTGATGGTGAATAATGCTGCTATGAACGTTGATGTACAAATCTCTGTATGTAACTCAGTTCTCATTTTCTCAAGATATATTCCAAGTAGTGGAATAGCTGGATAATATGGAATTTCTACATTTAGCTTTTTGAGGAAGCATCAAATTGCCTTCCAGAATGGTTGTACCATTTCACAACCTCAACAACAATGTATGAGAGTTCCTTTCTCAACACATGGCAAACAGACACATGAAGCAATGCTACAAATTACTGGCAATAATAGAGGTGCCAACTAAAACCACAGTGAGGTACCATCTCACTCCAGTAATAGTGGCAACACATCTTTTGATTCATTTACCATTGCTATTGTGTTGAACGTGTATTGAAGTCAGATAAAATTGTTGATAATTTCAATCTTTTCTCCGTCTATCAGGATGTTATCTGTTTTTTCAGTAGTCAAAATGTGGGGGTTTTTTCTTAATGTTTTATTTGTGTTGTTGTTAAGTGTCCTCGAGTTGAGCACAACTCATAGCAACACTATGAACAGGAAACTTCAGCTTTGCTCTGCAACTATCATCATGTCTCAACATACCCAGAGGCATATTGTTTAGGAAGTGAATGCCAATACTACTTCTAAACCTGTCTCAATTCTGGGAGCTCCACCAAACACTGTCTACCATGGATAACCATTATGACATTTGACACACCAGTGGCACAATGTTCAGCATCACAATAACCCCAAGTTACTTCAGTCCAGCAAGTTGACAGACCAGTGCTGTACCACTTACAAGAATATTCATCCCACACACAATGTCAAGCCTAAGGGCCATAGGCCCAAGGTCCCAATCATCTTTCAAATATAAGGCCCTCGCGCCAGGTGCTGGTGGACTCTAAACAACAGGCTACCAGTCCATATCTCATTGTCAGTTCACACCCAATTGTGAAGGAAAAATAAAAATAAACAACCAAATAGCCCACAACCAACCCTCACCAGAGCAAGAGAACCCACTTTCCAGAATCCAACCACTTCATACATGTGCCTCCAAAGTTACAGTTTTACCTGAAATAGAAAAGAATCTCCTCAAATTTGCCAGTCTTAATTATAAGTCTTTTTAAAAATAAGTAGATATAAGTTCACCTCACCCACTTGGTTTTGTTTGTTTGTTTATTTGTTTCACTTTCTATAAGCAAAGTTACAGATTCTGCAGGCAAGATTTTAGCCAAAAAATTATGGAACTATTTTCCTCTGCAGTTCAATTGCCTTGAGTTGGAATTAGCTCAGTAGCAGAGTGGGGCTCACTTTTTTTAACTGGCTCACCCTGAGCTCAGTTCACTGCATAGAAGCACTGTTGAAGCACTATTAAATTGTTTTGACAATATTGTTTTTATAAAATTAGATAATTAATAATTCTAATGCTAAATTTAGATTATATTTAACATGCAAGCAAGATTCTACGGAAGATTATCCAAAAGCAACTGGAACAACACATTAGCAGAGAACTGCCAGAAGTCCAGGCTGGCTTTAGAAGGGGTCATGGTACTAGGGATATTGTAGCTAATGTTAGATGGATCTTAGCTGAAAGCAGGGAATACCAGAGGAATGATTATCTGTGTTTCATTGACTATGCAAAGGTATTTGACTGTGTAGGTCATAACAAACTGTGGCTGACTCTGAGATGAATGGGAATCCCAGAATACTTGATCGTGCTAATGCGAAACCTCTACTTGGACCAAGAGGCAGTCGTCAGAACAGAGCAAGGAAACACTGCATGGTTCAAAATTGGGAAGGGCATATGCCAGGGATGTGTCCTATCTCCATACCTTTTCAACCTGTATGCAGAACAGATTATCCAGGAGGGTGGACTCTATGAGGAGGAAAGTGGGGTCAAGATTGGTGGAAGATCTATCAACAATCTGTAATATGCAGATGATACAGCCCTGCTTGCTGAAACTGAGGAGGACCTGAAGCGCTTGCTGTAGAGGGACAAGGACTGAAGCCTCCAATATGGATTGAGGTTCAATGTCAAGAAGACAAAGATTCTCACCACTGGACCAATTGGCAGCATCAGGATGGATGGTGAAGAGATTGACATTGTTCACAACTTCAGTTTGCTTGGCTCCACAGTCAACACTTTTGGTACCAGTAGCCAGGAAATTAGAAGACGTATATGCAAATGACACAACCCTGCTCGCTGAAACCGAGGAGGACCTCATGCACTTATTGCAGAGGGTCAAGGACTGCAGCCTTCAATATAAACTGAGGCTCAATGTTAAGAAGACAAAAATTCTCACCACTGGACCAATCAGTAGCATCAGGATGAATGGTGAAGAGATTGAGATTGTTCAAAGCTTCAGTTTGCTCGGCTCCACGGTCAACACTCTTGGCACCAG